CCAGGATACACACACATCAGATTTCAATATGTAATTTTTAATGGAATGTGATTTAATACATATTATAGTGTGAGAAAATAGATTAATAAAATGTGTCTATTACAGCCTTGTACCTTCCTTAATAAATTATGTAGAAGTGACAAAAGGCGGATCCTTACATGTTTCTTCACGCTGGTTTTCGTGGTTGATGGGGGTAAGAATAAGACCTTGTGGCCTTTATTGTCTCTCTTCATATTTCTTTTATAATTTTCATCTTCGTTTCTGGATGAATTTGGTGCGTTTATGCGTGAGCTCACTTTTTCCACTTCTTTTCCTTTTCCAGTCCTGATTGCACTCAAACACGGAAGATTATTAAAAAAAAAATTTATTAACGCAGCGAGTCTGCGTTCGCTAGTAAACAAAGTGAAACTAAAAAAGGCGCAAGGTTTTCACGCGTTGTCTATCTGCCTTGCGGACCACCGCTTTTAGGTGGTTTGCGAATTAACTAGGCGCGTTAAATAAGCCTTTTGTAACTCGAAATTTATTTCCTGGCACTTTCAGAGCAATTTTAGTAAGTCTGGGTCTGGGTCTGTCTGTATTCTGTTTCTGCTACCCCTCCTTAGAGAGTAATTACTGAATTTTCTGTGAATGTGACATTGACGATTACAATTTACGATACACATTAGTTATTCTTTATTTGCTCTCCTAGTCATATGTTCAGCTATTTCCATTCGAAATTTCTATATAGCTATTATAATCCGGGTCAAATTTATTTTTTAGGCTGAGAAACATGCCTTTTAACGAATTTGCATGCGGAACAAAGCGGTGCGGAATCGATGTGACCAAGTAACTGACCACTCTGATGACAGTGACGGAATTGGATGTGGTAGGTTTCTCTTCAGTAAGTTTGCATATAAACCACAATAGAGTTAAGTTTACTAATACGTTTGCCTTTAGAGCGATATACTATACCCATGTGGTATTGGGTATAGTATGCGTAGCATTTCCCACTTTAGCTTTTGCATACTTTTACATAATCTCGTAAGTTTCTATGTGACCGTCTATAGTGATATTTCGTACGTACCAGTATAGACTGAAATCGATTACCATTTCAGTCGATATCGGCATAAACTGAAGCTAATTTTCTTTTTGTCGAGACTGGTAGTATGTAGTTTTTATCGCATTGCTGTCTGAACCTAAACCTACATCGAAGCCACGACGTAAACTTAAATGTGCAGGCAACAATGCTAAGAATTTGTTAGAGTGATAAGTTTAGTAATTAATCAATCTCGTAAAATTGTTATATTGCCTGTGAATCACATCAGTTCATAGGGGTATGAACCGATACGCAAATTGACTTCATTTTCTAGCAGGATAGACGGAATACCACTCTGGACGATAATACATGCATTTAACATCTCTTTATCAGGAGTAATTTCTTTCGGAGTGCTACAGATAGCATGACCTTCAGTGCCAAAGTTTATAATGTTACTTTTTTAAAAGATACGTAAGACGCCAGAAACACGGATACTGTATGACAACGCCATGCAAATCTGGGAAGTGACGGGAGTATGTTACTTTTACCGGCGGCATCGAACACGTAGTTTGCTAATGAACTCAGAATACCGATGTTAAGTTTTGTGTGTCATTATCAAAGACCGAGTAATTAGTGCATAATCTCTTAGTCATTCACTAAGACTGGAATATACGGAGTATGAACAAAGCGTGGTAATAATAGCGGCTTATGAGGATACTGCCTCGACACAGTCATTTCGGCGTGCTTATCAGGGATATGCTTGTATTGATCTGATAAACCAAATCGGGCCCGTCTTCTGATAAAAATCCTTGCCATATGTTTTTTATCATGCTCAACTCGAAGTGCTGATTAAAAATTTTCCACTCAGAACTACTCATTTCGCTACCTTCCACGTTTTGATAAATAAGGAAAAACATAAACGAACCAATGAATGGATTAAAAACGATAACATAACTACATACTCTGCCGAATCTCAGAGCGAATGATTCCTTCAATGTTCTAAGATTGGATCCTTGGTTTAAGTGTAGAACGTTTATAAGCAACTGTTGCTATGAGTATAGCATGCCTTAATTATTATCATTATCGAGGATGCCTTCCTACCTTTTACTGACGTCGATTGCGTAATTTTCATCTTTAACAGTGATTCACTGTTCTTGCAGGTGCAACCGTCATCCAATGACCTCATGTAGTCTCAGGATGGAAAATAAGGCACAGTTGCTCTAAAATGGTAATGAAAAGTCAGTTCGTTAAGAAACCAAAACCACTACCGGTTTTTAAACCATGCGAGTGATCCTGTTATGAAAATATTTGACATATATATATAATTTTAGATTCTGTGTAGAGCATGAAATCTGAGCATGAAGATAATAATACTTCATCCTCCATTGCCGCTTCTTTCGGGTCGCGGAATATTGATACTTGTAGCATAATATACATGTGTGCAACTTTCAACGTTCAAGTTCTCATCAGATTGAAACTTTAAAGATAACCCCTACACATGCGTCACAAGAGTAATCAATATTTTCAATAGAAAGAACACCAGAGAAGGTTTACCAGTAAAAGAAGACAGTCATGCAAATAACTGCGAAATTGCCGTATTAGCGACCTTTTGGAAATGTTTCTCAGAGATTTCGCTCATCGGAGAAGGCCGAAGAAAGTTAGAGAATTCATACAAGAATAACTTTACAGAATTGACAATGAAATTGCAAAATCTGATATTCAGTCTTTATAGCGTCACGGTTTCAAAGCGGTTGCTGATTTAACGTTTTCTGAAAGGACGTTTCTTGCCTAACTTTGAACTTCTCGCTTCTGTACCAGCTATTAAACACAGCTGAATCCAATTTGTTGATCAAATTATTTTTCAGTTTCAAACCAATTTAATATTTGCTTATTTTTAGAATGACCACATTAGTATCTAACTGTCTGTTTTAAATACATTGGTAATGCATGAGTTTACCTAATGTATGTTAATCATATAGCAGCTCTTCTAAAAATTAGAATCTTAGTTTTGAAATCTGAAAACCGTTGTCAAAATTAACTATCAAGGTATAAATCATTAAGCATTCTTCTCAACGTTCAAAAGTTTTGTCCATTTTTTCATAACTAAAAAATAGTTCATCTAAAATCTTTCCCTATTCAATCGTCTTTCATTTCGAGAATGCATAATTTGCAATGATAGCAGTTGTATCTATTAAGCCAAGTGTAACTGTGTGATTTAAATTAAAATAGATCATCAAATTCTGTTTCCTGCATTTCCTTTGCTCTATGACTATCAGTACTAATCCACCCAATAGAATCTTCTGATATCGATAACGTCCCAAGATAAAATTTAAAATACAATGATGACCATTCATGTATGACAGATCAAAAAGAACTTGCAACAATCCTTCTAGAACATCA